AACAGAATGGATACCCTATTGGAAGGAAGACACGAATGTGACCAACGCAAAAAGTCTACTAGGGTGGTAAAGAAAAAGTGACAAATAGGATCTTTAAAAAGAGGCAAAAACTATTTGAATTACCAAAACTGTTCTTGAGGAATCTAACAGTCAAAACTCAGACCTGCAGAAACTCTGTGAGCTTATACGATGTATGACGCCTGAATAACTGGACAGAGTCACGGAAACAAATAATTAATTAAAGAAAAGTCTCCCTCGTTTCACTTCCCAATATAAGTAGACATAATATATACTGTATACACAAAACACCAGAGCCCTGAATTCCAAACGCAACCTCAAATCTCTCTTTATTGAGGAAAAAAATGTAAGTTTTCTGCACAGGTACACTCGCTTATTCCAGATGATCCCTTCGTGGTTATCAAATGGTTGAGAAATCTAGTGGACCGGAGACCTCACCAGTAAATACCAAGAGAGTAAGTATAAGAGACACTCTACTCTGGTCCTTTGATAATTCATGCATATTTCGTTCACTGGCAATTATTTGGTAGGTGTTTACTATGTGCAATGCACCGTTTAGGCACTGAGGTAGCAGCGAAGATGCGTAAAAGAGGTATGCATTGTCTAATGAGGGACACACACCTATAAGCAAGTACTATTTTCGACCCACAGTTGGGAAACCCTGTATGCAAAGCGCTGACTTAAGACACACACAAAGTTTTAACTGTTGGGCGGCTGGTGCCCCTACCCCAGCACTGGTCAAGGGCCAACCACAATCACAATGGGAATTACCGTGGAGAAATGTGGGACAAGAGGGAGGAAGAGCAGAACAGCTATCACGCAAATCGCTGCTTTTTCTTATGGTTGATTCAAGTACAAATGCATTTAAATGTTCCTAAAAACCAAGTCATCACCTTAACCTGTAGGTTCAGCATCTATATAAGTTCCTTCTTTCATTTCTCATGTCCTTATTTTTAAACTTATTGACTCCGCTGTCTACCACTTGCATAAAGAGAGCTTAGACTAAGTAAGAGTCTAAGCCATCTTGCTATACTGGTTATCCATTTTACATTTTTAAAAATATGACCTTGGGGAATTAAGAGGCTACACAATGGTTTTGCCCCCCCCCCCAGTGGGGGGCTCACTGTTCCGGTTACACACCGTGGCTCATCTCTGCCTCACCCAGGAGTGGCCGGTCAGCTGGACGGCCTCCCCTGGGTCTCCCAGAAGCTGACCTATACTCTAGTGCTGTCAGCGGTGAGATGGGTGCTGGGCCGGCCCTATACCCAATGATGGCCCCTTACCCCCCACTCTGAGCACTGGCAAGAAGAAGAAAAGTCACTTGGGAAAGAGGCAAGTAATTTACCAATACTTCACAGTATTTATACAACTTGGTTTAGCTTTATGGGCCAAGACAAATATTTCAATAAACAAATCTCTAATGCTTTAGCAGCCAGCAAAATTTAGGTTAAGCTTGACAAACAAACCCACTCACTTACATCTTGTCCTAACTCACGTTCCCAGGCCTCTCTCCCGCCATTTTTTCCTATTCATGCTTTTCGATTCTCATTGAACCCTTTCCATGTTCCCTGATGCCATCAGTCACCTTATGAAGCGTGCCTTCCTCAAAGGCAGTTCCCTCAGCCTGGAATACTCTCCTTCCCTTGTCAATGACTTTCATTCAGCCTTTGAAATTCAGCGCAAACAGTGGCTCATGGCAAAGCCTTAGCAAACACGGTACGTTGTTAAAAACCTGTGTGACCATGTGTATCTGCCTCCTTATGAATCTGCCCCTTTTTCTGTCACTTGCTACCAGATTGTAAGCTCTCTGGGAGTAGCAACTTCTGGGTTCGTTTCTGTTCCCTAGCACCAAGTACAGTGCCAGGAAAGTGTCTATAACTGGTGAATCACCAACACTCTGCCCAGAGTAAGCTTTCAACAAGTGTGTCAGTAATTTCAGTCAAGGCTTGCTAAGATCTGATCATCCGCTCTGCTCCCAGTAAGCGTGAAAATGCCGCCAGGAAGAATAAGGCTGCTATGGGGAGCCTACTACTAACTCCCTTTTGGGTTCATTCAGCTGAGGAGCACTGAACCCGCTGTCCACCATGGTGAAGACACTTGAACTCTACCTAGAACCACAAGTACCTGTGCTTAAATCTCACTCCTGCCCCTTCCTCAAGGTGACATGGAAATGGCCATCTTTATGATACTGTGTAAGTAACTTAAAGTTAAGCATCTCAAAGTCTGGTTCCTTTCTGTACTGCTTTTCAGTATTTGGAGAGTCCATTTTGATATTAATTACAAAAGTATTTTGTGTTGATTTAAAAAAATACACATACTTCTTATTGCCCACGCATTTAAGTGATGTAAGTCACATTAGCTATTGGTGTTATGTGTAAATTAAAAAAAATACAGTGTATTTCCACAGACATCCAAGTACTGTGGTGCCTCATTTAGCCAGAATATTCTGGTTTCTCTCAGAAGAATATTAATTATTTATCCAGCCTTATCAAGGAATGAGGTACTTCACAAGGCAGATTTTTCTGATAGGTTTTTTTAAGCATCACATACCTTCAGGATTTTAAACACTCTCACTGGCTATATTTTACACAGTATAAATACTGTCACTGGATATACATTACACAGTATTGTACAGTCCACTTTTTAAAAAAGCCCAGAACGACAAATGCAGCCTCACTTCTTCTCGACGATTCAGGAGCATTGTTAACGTCAATTACTGCACTGTGCTCCGTCCATCCTGTAATGCGACCGTACCATTAAGGGCTATTGATGAATGTAAAGCTCTTTGCCTTTATCCTAAGTGGGTTCAGATTGTTTTTATGGCTCTGCAACCAGTGTTTTCTGATGGTTATTTTTCAAATGACTGTGCAGGCAAAGGCCTCCTCCTTCCCTTGAAGAGGTGGCGGAGGTGGTCGGGAGCCTCAGTGCTGAGCGAGGGGTCCGCCCGTGGGGCCGGTCTTTGTGTGCACGCGTTGTCGGTGTGTTACTTTTACTCGAGAGTCATTAGTCTCGGTGTGAAGGTAAACCTTAGATTACCTGTCAACTTATTGCTTAAGTTAAATAAAAATTGTTGGTCGTACTTAATTTGAATTGTTTAAAGCCCAGACATGAACTTCAGACTAAACTTAGAAGTACTTCAATGTTCCCATGTTGCAGAAGGATATTTTTTAGCTACTGACTTAAAAATTCTTTTAAAGCCTTCCCCATTCTATTCCAGCATGATGGCACGAAAACTTCACACTCTAGTTCAGTCCCTCTCTGCCAGACTCTGTATATGGACAGTTATTTTCAATCTCTGTTTCATCAGGAAAACAAGGACAGGGGAGAGGAAGCTTTCTTCATTCATTAAAAAGTTGTAAAGAACAGCAGCCATGCCTAGAGCACAGAGAAGTTTAGTAAAGGCATGGAATCTACTATTTTAAAGTTCCTGTCATAATTGGGTTAGAATATTAACCCAACATTTGCTTGTGATCTTTAAAAATGAAAAAAATTGTGAAAATTTGAAAAGGCACAGTAACAAGTATCCACGAACTTCAAGGTACTAGAATACAATAAGGAGAAATCTTGCTCCTTCAGGTTAATCCATAACGAAACATCATTTTAAGTTAACTTACTAGTGAATGCCTACTTGTATGTCTCTAAATATCAGTTCTATATAAAATGTCATCTCAACTTTAAAAAAATAGCACTGGATAAGTACATAGAGAAAGAATATAAAATATTAACTTGACTGAATTAAAAGAAAAAATCTCTATTTCCACAGAAAAATCAATTTCTATTTTATATTGATTTCCATTGTACCTACAATAATGACCAACTTTATGCAGGTCATTCTTGTCAAGTTTAAACACAATAAGCTAATAATACAATTGGATGTAACTATAGTTCTTGCTCAGTAAACAAAGAAAATGAATGAATGAATGAATGAAGACACGGGTTGCTCGGAGTTATACCAAAATGCTCCACACTAGGCCTGCAACTGGTGGTCAGCAGAGCTGACCCCTTAGAGACTTTCTACTTCAGCACCCTTTGAATTTAACACTGACTCTCAATACTACCTCGTCAGTTTAAGGAGTATTTTAAATGGGAGTATTTCTGCCAGGGTGTTTCTTAAGCACTTTAAGGATCATCTAAAAGATGACTTAAGCAAAGCACAGGCCAGACTTCATGATTAGAATTCACAATTGTTTAAATTCTCTGATTATATGCTTTGCAACTTTATAAGTCTCATCATTCTCTACTTATGTTCCAGCTCTAGGAACTTTAAAAGAAAAAAAAATCATACCCCATCCCTTAAAAGGAAGAAAAGAAAGAAAGAAAGAAAGAAAGAAAGAAAGAAAGAAAGAAAGAAAGAAAGAAGAAAGAAAGAAAAAATTTCTCACCAGTACCTTTATAAAACTATGATAGGTTTTGGCTAGTAACTTGGTAAAAGGTCATTCTGCAAAGATTTGCATTGTATAGTTCAGAGGAATTCGAATTTCATGTATTTACTTATATACAGGGTCTGGCACAAATAATCCCCCAGTTTTTACTACAAACTTTTCTTACAAAATCATAAGCATGTCACCTGTATGTCTCCAAATATCAGTTCTATATAAAACATAGAACTGATGTAACATAACACTATCACACTCAAGCACGCCCTAGGACATTTTAGGTGACGAGTTCCAGTGAAAACTATGAATTGTTACACCCATTTTACTGCCCGACCGACCACACTCGCGCAGGCCTTCCTTCCGCCGGACCCTGTGGGTTGGAACTGACCCACAAGTAAAAACGAAACTCCCTACAACCTAATGGGCCCTACACTGAGGGCAGCGGGCATGAGCCACAGTTAATAATCTACAGAAGTTGATAACCCGTCCTTCAACCTAAGCATTGTAAAGAAATTCTTGAGGAACAAAATGGTTACAGTCCTCCTCTCGAACTCTAAGAAGAAAGGAGAAAAGTGAAATTTCCTCTTGGAGAAGAGAAACGCTTACTGGGACTTTGAAGGGCGAGGTATATGCACTGTCCATGGAGCTGGGCTTCTCGGACGTGCTGGTCCCTGAGATGCTCCGTCTGCGGGGGGACCTTTCCGCTGGCACCTCTGGAAAAGAAGAGATGGAACGTCATTAAGAAGCCCACATTCCAGAGGTTTCTCATTGCAAAATTATTGGGGTTTTTCCTCCTCACAAAAAGTCGGTTTGCTTTAAAGGCACATTACATTCTACATCCACATCATGTCTCTCTTGATCTCAGTGGCATTTGAACTATCGAGACACTAGAAGGCAGTCACAGTTAAGAATCTGCTGTCGGGTGGCAGCGTAGGTCTTATCTGTGCACCTACAAGAAGTAATTTCCTCTGAGCTAAGTTTAATATCTGTAAGTTCACTCAATATTTGCCTCTCACAGGGTATGAATCTACGCCTCTATCTGTCAGCAGTACAGGAGTTAATAGAAATCTCTGACGATCTTGTGAACAGAACGTGGTCTAGTGAGGCTCATGGTGGGACGCTGCTTGCACAGAGGTCAAAGTTCAGCTCTGGGCAGATACAGCAATTCACCAGACTGCGAACCAAAGGGCTATGCAAAGACTGGAAGCTGCTGCCAGGAAGAAAGATCATGTATGCCTATGCAGACACAAAAATAGATCAGCTTCTCCTTGTTCTGGCAATATGACCTTATTAGGATCTTACTCTGGAATCCTAAATCTGTTCGAACTACTTAACGAGCTTCAGATTTTGCACACACTGTGATAATCTCAAACTTAATTACTATCCGCTACATTAAGGTTACAGTTTCTTTGGAGAGTGATAGATATATGCATATATATGCACATACACAAGCACACACAGATGAGAGACAGATACATAATTATACCTTTGTCACAACTGCTGCCCATCGCCACTTCAACTGACAGACATATAGGAATCCAGCTTCTCAGATAACATTAGATCATCTCAACATGGACAAGGAAAAACAAAACACATCCTAAAAAAAGTATTCTGTGTTATCTTCCAGATCTTAAAAAAATAAGGAGTGAGTCGTGACTCCGGAGACTGACATTTTGCTTCCCGCTGTTCTCCCTTTAAAAGACAGATGCAGCTTAAACTTCCATTTCTGGCCTCCTGGCCCCTGGGATCCGTGCTACTTCCACTTCAGAGAAAGCATTTTTTTTTTCCGCTCCCGCTCCCTCCCTGTGTCTTGCTCTCCCCCCTTCTCTCTACAGCTTGCAGAGAGAGTGAGCGAGAAAGAAACACACACGGCTGCGGCTGTTCAATCAATTGCTCCCGCTGCACATCCTCATTAGTGATTTTCAGGCTATTAGCAGACGCCCGACCACTGCCGCCCCCCAGTTACAGAGAATCTCACTGTGTTGCACTGATCTGCAGCGAGAAGAAAACACTTACTGAAATTTATAGTCAGTTAGTGCCAAAAGGACACCATTTTACACAGACCCAGGGACGCACATGAGCCAGTCCCTCCCACAGCTAACCGGCTGCAAGTGCTGACCCTATTACCATCTCTGCCTCTCAGAGACGGATTTGCTCTCCCTGACTAACATCTTCGCTGTGACATCTTGACTAGTGAGACGTAAGCCAACGTTCCTAATGACTGAGAGGCTGGTGCCACAGCGTCTCACAAGCCTGCAGTACAAGCAAGGTCCACACTGTACCTGTGCTTTAAAATCAGGACCAATAACTAACCGCGAATCTCTCGACTTCTTGCCAACCATCGGCGGTTGGTTAAATGAGCCTTAATGTAGAGAGTCATTTTCAGAAGAAGGCACACAGGATTTAGTGCACATTTCTAACAAATGGCAGTGTAAGGACCTAAAATTCATGGGAGTGGCACAAAGCACTGAATTTAAGCACATCAGTCGGTCGGACACACTGAACCGGACCATTGGACTTCGGGAACCTGACACTGAGGAGTGAGTATCGCAGTGGCGCAAGTCCCACGGGGGAGGAACGGGTGAGCACAGGTGCCGGGGGAGGTGAGGACAGCCTCATCCTCCCTCTGACAACTACCTCTAATTAGGAAGTATGGGAGACTATTACAATAAAATGTGTTTTTAATCTCTGAATAATTGATGGAGAAACAAAACTAGGAGAAAAAGAAGTTCCCTTAGTAAGGAAAGAATGGTCTAGTAAATAGTTTCCTTCGATTTGCAATGTTCTCACTAAGGACAAAAACTGAAACTTATTTCTTCACTTTCTTCCAAACATCAAATTCTAGTTTCCAGGCACATGAACTCATTAAGTAAACATATTTGAGTGCTTTTATCTATTTGGAAATTATAGGGGCTCAAATGGCCAACCCCATATCAATCTCTAACAAATACATTACTTCTTGTTGTTTTAATTGTGGATTCTCTTTCGGTATCATGAAAAAAAGAAAACTCCACAATTCTGGTGTAGCTTGAGTGTTACTGGGTTCAAAAGAAGAAATTAAATTATTCCAGAAGTGTGAGCAATTACACCCAAAGAGGGAAAAAAGAAAGGACACGAGGTAAGCTAAACAGACTAACGTAAGAGGAATCAGTCCATACTTCTTGCCTTGCTCAGCCCCCACAACAATGCAAGAAAGAGGAAAAAAGGCCATTTACTACCCAGGTTCTTTGGTCCTCAGAAGATTCATAACTATTTCGAAGCCGAAAGAAGACTATATACCCCGAGAACCAATGAATGTCCACGGAGAAAGAAAGCAGCAGCATTGGCAGGGGTGGAATGGAGAACGTGCTGGGTTAGTCCCAGGCAGGCCTGCGCACCCAACTGGTCCAGCTGCCCCAACCTGAAGTCTCGAAGCAGGAAGGAAAACTGCGACTATGCTCTTCAAGTTACATTTCTGCCGAGGTGGACGGGAACTCCACAGTTGTTCCAGTATAGGCCAGTTAGACAGCTTTCTCCCCCACGCCCCGGTCCTGCTACACGCTATCGCGCTATTCTCACCTGCTGTAAAAATTAATGTTCTTTCCCAGTCACAATATTTAATTATAGTCATTTTAAAATATGCTCGTTTTCTAAGGCTGAGACATATATTGTTTCAGTAGATAAAGGTCTGAAATGGTTTTGTTCACTTTCTCATCATCTAAAAATAGTATTTTTCATCTTCAGATTGAAAGAGCCTGGTTAAGTTGTAAATTTATCTCATCATTTCCTTTGCCGCTGGGTACGAGCTGAGATGAGGCGACAACGTATCATAATGAGAGATAACCTCCAGCCCGGCCCCGCGTAGAATGATGTATTGAATGGAGAGAGAACACCGGGTGCTTTTCTTAGCAGCACTGCTGACTGACTGCCCATGTGCCCTGGCGGGGGGCATTTCACCTTGCCCGCTGTGGTCTTCGTTAGCAAACTGGGTTACTCAGGCCAACCAGAGATCAAGACAAGATAATGAGCTCATATGCTTTGGTGCAGAATTAGCATTTTCAAAGAAAGGGGCTCTCTAAATACAAAGCATAGTATTGTGACGTCATTTCCTCAGCACATGATCTTCCTCTCTGTCAATGTGCTTTTTTTGAAAAGTGTGGCAAAGAAATTGACAACTGGATAATTACAGGGGCAAAGGCACTTCTGATAGAGGATGTGCCTGTTCGACAAACAGAACCCAACCTCTGCCTTGAGGACCTAGGAGTGTGTCCGTGGCCTTTAGTTACACGTATCAGGGAGCAGATGTCAAAAAGTGTGTCGTGGAGGGAAGAGAGGTAAGACAGCCTTAGGCCCTGGGGAGGGACAGTCGTTCGTTCCCCTACAGTGAGTACAGGGAAGAGGTGGAGAAGGTGGGTTGGAGTCAACACTGAGGGGGTGAGGCAGTCACCAGTGAGTTTCTAAGGGGAGGACTCTGCGGGCAGAGGGAAGCCAACGCCAGCTTCCAGGGTGAGTGAGAGCAGCCGGGAGGCCGGAGGGACCGGTGTGGGCGAGCAGGGACGAAGTGGTGGCAGACAGCCCGCAGGTCTGCACCGAAGAACTCGGCTCTTTGCTCTCAAAGGAACACCGCCTGGTGAAATGCACCTCCTGGCCCTTTCTTAATTGTTTCCTTTTCAGGATTTTGAATAATAAATAAATGTGATTGAACTAAGTCTGGAATATTGTGTTCGGAAAGCGAGTCAAGGGAAATGTTTATCATATATGTTTGCTAAGGCAGGAATGTTTAACTGAGGGATTAGGTTTCAAACCCCTCTGAAAATATCAAGAGAAACGTGTCTGTTATATAACATTATTATGGCCAAACGTGTAGAAGCATCAAATCAAATACATTCACTTTTTGTTCAATCATGTTTAACCAAAGTCCATATATCATCATGCCATAAATGCACATATGGAACATTCATGACACAGCTAACCATGTCATGGATTCTGCTGTCTACCACTTTTAAATCAAGTTACACTAGTTTTTTTTAAAAAGGTAGGTGAAATGATTCATACTTTTCAAAAGAGAAAATGATGTACTATAAAAGTTATTTAAGCACCCATTTTGCAAATAATCTATCTAGGGTGGAAATCTTGTCACGATAACTTCAGCCACTACAGAGTGTCTGTTATGTGCTAAGCCCTGGGCCTGATATCTGTCTGTGTGAGTCCCGGGGACAGCCCCGCGGCAGTGCCAATCACGGCACAATCACCGACGTGACAGTCATTTCAGAAAGTTCAACAGGAAAGATGAACAAAAGGTAGGAAGAGATGTATAAATTCTAATTTGGTGAATGGTGATGTGAGGAAGCAGAATACCCTGCTCATGCAACCTCCTCCAGTTAAGACCAAAAAACACCGTATGTGCACAGACGCAGCCGGTCTGGTGCATACTCGCACCACATGTCAAAATATTGCACATGAACAGCACCTGAACCAATTCCGTTGTCCAGAAGGATAAAATATGAAGGAATGTGAATGCTTTGCCAGTTAGAATTATTCACAGGTCCCTTTAATATTTTTGATATTACAGGTAGGAAACATGTGTTCTAATATTCTTAAAAGGGGAATTTTTCAGTTCACTTCAAAAACCTTTTTAAAAATCAATAACATTCTAACACGGCACGCTGAAAAAACTGAACAGACACTACGCTGTGCGTGCACCCACTGATGTCCCTGAAATTTCAGTGTGTGG